ATGTCACTTAATGTGTTTTTCTTATCCTTCCTCACTGGTGGAAGTTTGATAGGTAAAACTCCATGAATATGAATAACAGAGAATATAGACAGCAAGACACAACTTGAAGGTTGTGCCAGTGGCTGCAAGTGGTGGTGGTATTCAGCCGGTTCAGGCCGGTTGAGACTAACTGGTAGTTAAATTGCTGGCTGGCTCTAGCCCTCCCCTCCCTGCCCCTCCCAGGAGTCCCCACACATCCCATTTTGGCTCCCAAGTAAGGGCAGGGATGCCTCCTAGGCTCAAAATGGGGCACGGGGGGGTGCGGTGCCCCCCCCAGCCTGTTTTTGCTGCCAGGAGGCTGAAGGGAGGCCGAGTAGGCCCAAAATGGCACGGGGGGTGGGGGCTGGCACATTCCCTCCCCTGTGGCCCGTTTTTGCTCCCGGGGGATGCAGGAGGCCAAATGCTGCCTGTCACATCTCCTGGCCATGCCCACCATGCCCATACCTACCCAGCCAGTCATAAGGGCAGAGAACTGGTTGTTAAATTATTTGAATTCCACCACTGGCTGCAAGTATTCACCCACTGGAGAAGCAGATATCTCTGTTGTGTGTTTGACAAATGTTGGACACCATTGCAACTGTCTATAACTACACAAAGGCCTTCCAGCATCTTTTGTGTAAGTGGAGCCAAAACATGGGTTTTTGAAGAACAAAAGATTATATCAATCCTTCAGAGATAATTAAGCATCCATTTTTCTCCTTAAAACTACTCAACTCCTTCCCATCTCTAGCACATCATAAACAAAGTCAGTGTTTATTAGACATCTGTTAAATGCTCATTCTCTATTAGCCAAACCTACCTCCGAGATTGCTGTATATAAGGTTGCTGTATATGAAAGACAAATGAAGGTGTTTTCTAGAGTTATGTACTTGCTCAACTCCACCATTTGTTGACCTCTAAAGAAGAAACAGTGGTATGCTCTTTCCAACTTTGTCATTGGGTCAAAGCTATGTTAGCAAGATGCCTTCTTGGTTGTTGTTGCTTCAAACTCTTTGTAGGAGTGGGAAGCCACCTCCTCCCAGAAGAATGAAATATTTTGAGAAATATTTAAAAATGCAGAATATTATATTTCTCTAAAAGACAAACATGTTTTTAAAGACAGAAAACAGCCCCCAAGTCTTACTTAAAAGCCCAGCAGGACTGAGCCAGCCTATCTACAAGACAAAAGACCTTCGGCTCCAGGGTAATGGGATTAAGACATGGCCCTTCAGGACATAATAGGACCATTTAGCAGAAGACACAGAGCTCACTGCATTGCACAATCTCCTAAGGACATTGCATCACCCAGCAGACTTCAACCAAACCTGGGAGCTCAGGCAAACATGACCCCATATGACTCTGACAACAGCCAATAGAATATATGTTCTTGCACAGAACAGGAAGCTCAAGTTCAAAGCCCAAGAGAAGGTATAAATACCTCTCCCTCTCAACTCCATGTGTTCAGCTGCACCAGGATCATATGCTTGGTGGTTCTGCTTCATCATTAAACCATCTTTCCAATCAGCCTCCATGTTTCCAGGGTTTTCCTCCCGGCTTGGAATTGAACCAGATCAATATTTCTTCCAACAGTAGGAAACGTAGAATTTTTGAAAATGTATCTGTGTCTTGTCTCTCCTTCCCTCCCCCCAGTGAATAAATAATTTTGGATTGTCATACCATAGATTTGTATTTTGCTCCTCATCTAGCTTTACAGAAGTTTTACAATTTGTCCTTTGTCCAAAGAGAGCATCAAGTCACCATTCTTAGCCAACATAAAGTGTGAATATTGGCCAAGAAACATGTTGACACTGGCCACAGCCATATAAAATTCATAGATTTCTTAAGCAAAAGGTTGTCCAGCATCTCAACATCATCCACATCTAGGATAGAAAAGGGTGTAATGAAATTATTCTGTGATGTGTTGTAGATTTCAACAGTTCCCTCCTATCAAATAAACAATAGCATCAAGCTAGCATTCATCTTTTCAACCATTGTCAGCAAACAGTTGGGTTGCATTTACATCGCTTAAAAGATGATCAAATTGTATTCACTCTTCTTTTTGGCATATAAATGTTTGGCACTTCAGAACATTAGGTGCAGGAGACAAGTCGGCCAGTCAATTCCTGTTGCAATAATTGGTTATCAACACCTAATTGATATGAAAAAAGCAGACCCTGCATTTGTGAGAAAATGCTAGAATGAAAAAAAAAACATTTTATAGACTCATTAATCTCTGTGATTACCTAGGTCCTAATCTGTAGCCATGGAAGGCACATTATTAATACCATGGGAGCAGGATGAATAGGTGATAGTTAGATTGAACAATACCAACTAGTAGAAGCAAGTATCAACCAGGAGACTGGGGGCACAATGGTTAGAATGCAGTATTGCAGGCTAACTCTGCCCACAGTCTAGAGTTCGATCCCACCTGCTCAAAGTGGACTCAGCCTTTCATCCTTCCGAGGTCGGTAAAATGAGGACCCTGATTGTTGGGGGCAATATGCTGACATTTGTAAACTGCTCAGGGAGTGCTATAATGTTCTGCCCCAGCTACGGATCCCAAAGAACGCAGCACACACAAACTCTACACAAAGCTCATTTTACTCAAATAACTTAGTCTTTATCATTCAAAGGCTGTTAATGAACTGTCTTAACAGCCTACCAGAATTCTAAGATAAGGTAATCACAGTCTTACTAGAGTTGGCAGAAAGCCCAGAAGCAATTTTGCAGACATGAAGGAGAGTGAACTAAAGTTGTTCTCTACAGCTTGTTGCAAGCGGCGTTCCTTCTTAAATAGGCTAAGGGAGTGGCCAATTAGCCCCAAGCCTTACTCTGGAGGAGCCACTCCTGCCTTTTGGCAGCTCTGCGCACCCGTGCATTGAGAAGAGGCTCCTCCTCTTCATCCTCTTCACTTAAAGGAGGTTCTGGAGGTTCTGAAGGCCCTGGCTGAATCCCTGCCTCTGGCACCACATCTTCTCCAGCCTCCTCATTGTCCGACTTGAGCGCCAGCTGCACAGGCTGCTGATGCAGCACCACACCAGCCTCCTCGTTGTCGGTATCAGCTACAATCTGCACAGGCCGCTGATGGGCCACAACATATAAATCACTATGGGGTAGTGTATAAGTCTAAGTGCTTTTGCTATTTCTTGGAATGCCCTTTAACTTTATGTTGAGGCTAAGAAACACAACAACAACTAATATATATCAGCTGATTGCCAAAGATGACTCCACGAGAAGTAATTAACATCTGAGGTAACTTCTTTATTAACTCAAACAGGAGACCATAACACATTCTCCTCAGAACAGAACAGAGAACAAACGCTGACAGCTCTTATATATTAGCTGTCAGCGTGGCTAACCAATCAGAATCTTTTCCCCTTCTGTACACTCCAACAGGGGGCTCAAACTAGGGAACCTGCTCAGTACACAACAACAACAACAACAACAACAACAACAACAACAATAATAATGATAACGATGATGACTTGTGGGACTTTCAAATATTATCTTGTGGGACTTTCGAATACAGACAGATCGTCATTTCGAACACAACATGCCAGACATCATGGTTGTCGAAGGCCGAAGCGTACAGTTTATTGATATCACTGTACCAGGAGATGCCAGAGTCAAAGAAAAAGAACTGGAAAAAATCACAAAATATTGCAACCTGGCCATCGAAACTACACGGCTATGGATGAAACATGTAACAGTGATACCCATTGTCATCGGGGCACTTGGTACCATGTCCAAGAATTTTATAAGATATATCAACAAATTGCAGCTTCCTGCAATAACACCAGTGGAACTGCAAAAAAACTGCACTACTCAGAACATCGTACATCTTAAGAAGGTACTTGGTTGATACCTAGGACGCTGGCAGCAACCCGTATCAACCATTAACATCAGTCAATGGTATTTGTGATGCATTTTTTAATGTTCAGTTGACTGAGTTTCATGTTTCATGAATAAAGTAAATAATAGTGATGATGATGATGATGATGATGATGATGATGATGATGATGATGATGGTGATGTAGCTGCTCCATTGGTAGCATTCCCTGGTTGACTGGCTGGTTGGGGCCTTGCCCCTGGAATTGGGACAGGAAGAAGCCAAAGGGGAGGTTTCTGGGAAATGTAGTACCCAGCAGGGTGAGTAAAATCAGAGTACTGGGGAGGAAGACAACAGCTTCGAGCAGCAGAAGAAAACAGGACTGAGAAGCAATGGAAAGAATAAAGCTGCTATGAGGAAAAGAGGCGACACTCAGGGGTGGGTTCCACTTACCTTTACTACCAGTGCGCAGCTATTCAAAAGAAAATTCTTGTAAGTAGGTTAGCAACAATAAAGAAGCAACTCTGATCAGGTCACAGTGTCATTCTGGTTCCTTGTGCCTGATACTCCTAAATCAATGTCTGTTAGGGGGAAGTCTATGTAAGGATTAAGGTATGCGGTGGCTCAGTGGCTAAGATGCTGAGCTTGTTGATTGAAAGGTTGGCAGCTCAGCGGTTCGAATCCCTCGTGCTGTGTAACTGGGTGCGCTCCTGTTACTTGTCCCAGTTTCTGCCAACCTAGCAGTTCGAAAGGACATCAAAAATGCAAGTAGAAAAATAGGGACCACTTTGGTGGGAAGGTAACAGCATTTTGTGTGCCTTGGCATTTAGTCATGCCTGCCACATGACCACAGAGACGTCTTCAGACAACGCTGGCTCTTCGGGTTTGAAATGGAGATGAGCAGCGCCCCCTAGAGTCAGGAACGACTAGTACATATGTGCGAGGGGAACCTTTACCTATGTAAGGATTAATATCTACATGATGACATGAACACTGTACATACAACATAGAGCTTGGATTGCAATGCTGCCCCGAGCATCTTACACACGTGCTAGCATTATTCTGCATCCAAGTCAACTATATTACAAAACATTTCTTTAAAAAGGACCTTCTGCTCCTTAATTACTCCACATTCTTTCAGCACTTTGCTTAGGCTCATAAGCATATTTGGCTCCAATTCCAGCTGAATTAAATTTCAAACAGGGAAGGACACCAATGATTGTACTTTGGGGCTGGCCAAATGGCACTGCTCCTGTCACATGGTAGCATGCGAAAGAAAGAGAAACCCAGGCCAGGTTGACTTGGATCTTGTCAGAGTTGACTTGGACTTCATTGAAGGAGGCAAAGAAAACAGACTGCAGCTTGGGACAGAGCTGAAACAGATTCAAGAGCAAAAGAAGCACATCAGGAGTTCCCCAGTATGTAGGGCTCCTCCCCTCTCCTGCCCTTCTGCTCCACCCATACTGATGACAGACACTAGTACATAAATAAAATAACTCTCAAGTATGTAATATGTCCCTTGTGGTGTGTTTCCCTGCCAATATGAAAGATATACATTTTTACAAATATCAAGTTTGGAAAACATCCTTGAGTCTCATTTGCCTTGAATTTCAGCCAACGCTGCTTAGCTTCCCGTTGCGTGGAACAACTCTTTACAACTTTCCTTCCCCTTCCCCTCCCCCCCCCCACCCTTGGAAACTGATTGTGTTATTCTGTTGTCATTGTAGCACGGGTATCATGCAACTCTGCCGCAAACAGATGTTTGAAAAGCGAGCAGCATCTTAGTTATGAGATGCTGATTACAGAAGAGCAAGGAGAAAATCCCAGGTCAAATTTGAAAGCTATATCGGTTGTCATAACAAGCCTAGGATGTACCTTGGTGATTTGTTAGACCTGTCTTTTGTAAACTTCTATTCATTTTGACAGTGGAGAATTGTCCACGCACATGTACGGATGATGGTTGAGCAACCCTTGACTCTTCCAATTTCATGACGCCATGCCAAGCTTCCTGGGAGAATTCTCAGAAAAAAGATGGATCATATATTTCCAAGTTTTCCTGGAAAATTTGGAAGAAAACAATGGAGGAGAATTTTTATCCAAGTTTGCCTTTGTGAATGGGCGCTAAGAGGGAGCAGCACAGAGAACTGGCAAATTATAGGAGAAGCTTTCTGGGCTCATCCCTAACTGACTTGGATACATTCAAGAGTGGACCAAATTTGCACCCAATGTATCTACAAGCCATGTTCTCTGATTAGAAAGTATACTCCTGATAACGTTCTCTTTAGCTTTTGCATAGGATTTATACCTTCTAATTCAAGTGTACATTGATTGTACGTTCAATGTACATCAATTAAAGGGGCAGAGAAGACTAATACTCCATACACAACTTGCGACCACAATTGAGCCCAAAGTTTCTGTTGTTAAGTGAGGCAGTTGTTAAGTGAGTTTCGCCCAATTTTACGAACTTTCCTGCCACAGTTGTTAACTGAATGACTGCAGTTGTTAAGTTGGTAACATGGTTGTTAAGTGAATCTGACTTCCCCCCATTGACTTTGCTTGTCAGAAGTTTTTAAAAGGTGATCACATGACCCTGGGACACTGCAACCATCATAAACATGAATTACCGTACTTTTCGGAGTATAAGACGCACTTCCCCCCACAAAAAAGTGGGTGGAAATGTCTGTGCGTCTTATGCAACGAATGTTGTTGAAGCTCTGCCTGCCTGCTGACCCCCACCCTTTGGCCTCTGCCTCCCAGCAATTTACCTCCTTGCAGCAAACAGCAAACAGCCTGGTTGGCTTCAGGACAGTCTGATTTAGCATTGACAGGCTGATTGGCAGTTTTTTTTTTTTTTAATTTGATTTATATGCCGCCCTTCTCCGGAGACTCAGGGCGGCTTACAATGCGTTAAGCAATAGCCTTCATACTTTTGTATATTTATACAAAGTTAGCTTATTGCCCCCACAAACTGGGTCCTCATTTCACCTACCTTAGAAAGGATGGAAGGCTGAGTCAACCTTGAGCCTTGGAGAGATTCGAACCAGCAGTAAATTGCAGGCAGCTGTGTTAATAACAGGGTGCATAACCACTGTACTATCAAGGCTCTTGGATAGGCCTCCCAGAATACAGGCAATCAGCTGTTCCAGGCTGCAGGGATCACTGCCACCCATGCTGGGAGGCAGAGGCAGAGGCAGAGGCAGATTTTTTTTCCCTTGTTTTCCTCCCCAAAAGCTAGGTGCATCTTATACTTCGGAGTGTCTTATAGTCCAAAAATATGGTAGTTGCCAAGTGTCCAAATTTGATCATGTGACCATGGGGATACTACAACAGTCATAAGTGTGAAAAACAGACATAAGTCACTTTTTTCAGTGGCATTGTAAATTTGAATGGTCACCAATTGATGTAAGCCAAGAACTACATGCACTCTTAAGTATATATGTAAGTGTCTCCTGGTCAATGAAGAAAAAATCTACTACAATGATTATTGGCTAATGTTCCAGTCTTCTATGTCCCAATCTCTTTGCAAGAATTTTTTCTACACGGAAAGGGAGTTGCAGAGAAAACTGATTGGTGGTAACAGTGACAACATCTGTGATGTATCAGATCCGAATGTGGAGATGTTTGAGCTCTCCTTCCAGAAAGGGTGAGCCAATATTCTGAACCTCCACTCCAAATTTTGCTCTACCAAATAATACAAATGTTTGTATTCGTTGAGCTGTTTCCATACTTGATGTGAATAAATCTAGTGCTGGAGTCTTCTTCAGTGACTGAATGTTTGTTAAATAGTAGGAGACAATATTTGCCAAAATGTTCAAAGGATTTCTGGTCAACAGTCAATCTCAGATTTTATAATGGAGAACTCTGGAAAACAAATTTGCTTCAAGGCATCCATCCATCCTTGGGTTTTTCATGTTGTGCTGATGAGTAAAAAGAATGTTGTTGCATTTGTGACAGAGGGAGTAAAAATGTAAAGCTCTGTTAAAAGTTATATATGACTGGATTTATGCCTGGGGATACCCTGAACAGAGTTGTCTCTAGAAAGCCTGACCTTCTCTTAGTGATTTATTTGCTTGCGTTCTCAATATTGAAAACAATGTCAAGTACAGGTAGTTCTTAACTTACGGCCATCAGTTTAATGACCATTCAAAGTTACAATGGTGCTGAAAAGGCGACTCACAACTGGTCCTCACACTTACAACCTCCCGGCATGATTCATTTAACGCCACATTACTTTGTGGTGGAAGTTCCAACCCCACCTGTGGTCCTAAGTCAAGGACTATCTGTAGCTGAATTAAGTACCTTCTTAATTTTTCACAACATTTCAGAAGAATTCTAATCTGTGGAGAAGACATTTCTGAGAAATTAAATTAAAATGAAGCTAAGATCCAGTTGTCTGGAATATATTCAAAATGCTATATCTGTGGGAAATGTTAATGACATGGTACTGAGACCAGGGGTGAAATGCTACCGGTTTGGACCAGTTCGCCCAAACCGGTAATAAAAAAAATGCTACCAGTTCGAGTGAACCGGTATTTCCAATGATCAGCTATGCCGCGTGATTTATATTAACTAATATAAATATTAATATTAAGATACGGAGGATCCCGGACCTGCACGCTTTCCGCCGTGCCATCAAAACATTTCTTTTTCAGCAGACCGCCTGGCCTAACCTCTCTTTTAAACTTTTTAAATAACTTTTAAAATTTTTAAATTTTAAATTTGTCTTATAAATTTGAGGTGTTTTAAATTTCGTTTCCGGGCCAATTATTTAATTGTATTTTAATGGTTTTTTAACATTTGTATTATATGTATTTTATTTGGCTGTTCACCGCCCTGAGTCCTTCGGGAGTAGGGCGGTATACAAATTCAATAAATAATAATAATAATAATAATAATAATAATAATAATAATAATAACAACAACAACAACAACAACAACAACAACAACAACTAGAAAGCAGGAAATCCTGCTTTCTAGCGAATCTAAATCACGCAGCACAGCGTTCCCCCCCTCACTGTTCTACTTACCTTTGCAGACTCAGAAAAGGCTTCTTAATCCTTCTTTTTCAGCGCTGCATGATAGCGCTTGCATGCACATGTACGTGAAGCACATTTGGTGCGCACAGCGCATGCATGCGCATTTGGCACACACCGCACATGCACATGCATTTGGCATGCACCACGCATGTGTGCATGAAGCAAACCAGTAGTGAAACAAACCGGTAGCAGACGTCAAAGCCTTTCACCCCTGACTGAGACCCTAGTGGCTGCCAAATGTCTGTCTGTTGTGGTCCACCAGCAGCCTGCGGCGCTGACACCACGCCCGCCAACCCACGCCCACAGAACCGGTAGTAAAAAATATGGATTTCATCACTGGTGGGGAAGCAAGGAATGTTGCAGGTCCCATCCCCTAGGGAGATACACCTGGTTGGACCCAGAAGAAGGGGCTTCTCCGTGGTGTCTCCCTCTCTCTGGAACATCATTCCCCCAAAGATTAGAATGGCCACCACTCTAACACTCTTCCAGAAGGTGCTGAAGACCTGGTTCTGCCAGTGGACCCGGGGAATGCAGAGCGGGATGGAGCCCATTAAATGGCTCGTGTGATGTGTTGTCGCCGGAGTGGGAGGTGGGGGTTATTATATTATTTTATTAATTTATTATGTGATTATTCTCTTTTATTAGTTTTATTGTTTTTTATATAAGGTTTTTATATTCTTGTAAGCCGCCTTGACTTATCATGTGCAAATAAGCGGCAATATAAATTTCCAAATAAATAAAAACAAATACTACTGGTGTAAATAGAGCCTTGATAGTACAGTGATCTACGCACCCTGTTATTAACACAGTTGCCTGCAATTTACTGCTGGTTCGAATCTCTCCAAGGCTCAAGGTTGACTCAGCCTTCCATCCTTTCTAAGGTAGGTGAAATGAGGACCCAGTTTGTGGGGGCAATAAGCTGACTTTGTATAAATATACAAAAGTATGAAGGCTATTGCTTAACGCCTTGTAAGCCGCCCTGAGTCTCCGAGAAGGGCAGCATATAAATCAAATTTAAAAAAAAAATACACATAGACATTAGACAGTACTGTGAGAATTAGGTGTTCAGCAGAGTGATGGCGTGAGGGGGAAAAAAACTGTCCTTTTTCTTGTGGGGGACATGGGATTAGATGGGCCGTTGGACTGAATCAGTAGATTCCTGATTTCTTAATCAGCTGCTGCCCATATATGTGGGCTCCCACCACCCAAAATTCCTAGTAATTTGTCCATAGCTAGAGCTAGCTTTAGGCTAAGATCTAGGCATCGACCAAGGATGTGCCTCAACACCATCCTTCCTTCTGAAGCAGGGCTGTCAAATTTGCGGCCCGCAGGCCAGATACGTCACATGGTGGCCATGCCCACACCTGGTTTAGCGAAGGGGGGAAAAGTCAAGATACATCGAGTGACGCCACTGTGACGATACAAGTTTGACACCCCTGTTTTAAAGCATTACAAAAATTGCAATCCTTGCATTGGCAGCTGCCAATGCTCATCAATGAATGCGAACTAGGAACATCATATATCCCTGACTGGAACTGCATATGGCTATGGAAGTTGACTTCCAGCTTAGGTGTAGGGCTCCAAATTGGGAGAAGGTCAGGGGTGAAATCCAGCAGGTTCTGGAGAACTGGTAGCAGAAATTTTGAGTAGTTCGGAGAACCGGCAAATACACCTCTGGCTGGCCCCAGAGTGGGGTGGGAATGGAGATTTTGCAATATCCTTCCCCCAGGAGTGGGGAGGGAATGGGGAATTTGCAGCATCCTTCCCCTGGAATGGGGAGGGAATGGGGATTTTGCAGTATCCTTCCCCTGCCATGCCCACCAAGCCACTCCCACAGAACCAGTAGTAAAAAAAAAAAAAAGGATTTCACCACTGGAGAAAGTGCTACAAATGAATTCTAAGCTGAACAGGAGCGATCACAAAAATCCATGGCAATCATTACCAATAAAAGAATATCGATAGACGATCACAGAACCAGACAGACCGGCATGCTAAATCCTCAGACGGAGACTCCAAGATATCATCCAGTGGGAAAGACTTCTATGAAAATCTTGTGGTCCTTTTTCAATGCTCCTGGACATATGGAGATCATTATAGTGGGTGAGTCAGAAATTAAGCCACTGGACAGTCCAGCTGCCAGCGTTCAAGCTGCTGGAAGGCTGGAATACAAGACAATTGTTTTTGAAACCATAAGGGATTGTTTCCAAGGAGATCACTGTGTCATAGGATTATGGGATTCTTTCTGGCGTGTGTGTGTGTATATATATGTATATATAAGACTTGTCCACGAAGATAGAAGCAAAAGGGAAAAGACAGAGTAAGGGCTAAAGCAGTAAGACACCAGGAATGTATTCTCTTTAAGCATTCACTGTGCTCTCAGTAATATATCAAATAAGCATACTTTTTCCTGCTCCGACAAGCATTAACAAATTAAAATCAAACAGCCATCCAGTTTTTGTAACTTTCTCTGACTAATGAATGAGCCTCTGGGATTCATTTTGACATCTGTAGGTTATAGAGAATTTACCTCCTCCTCCCCCCCCCACCCCGCTTTGCCAAAAAATTTAAAGGATATCTCTGTGTGAAAAGGAAGTCTTCACAAAGGTTTTGTGTGCACTACACTATTCAAACAGAACAGGGATGGGTTCTACTTACATTTACTCAGTGATGGGATTCAAATAATTTAACAACCGGTTCTGTGCCCTAATGATTTCTTCCAAAAACCAGTTTGCCAAGCTGTTCAGAAAGTTTACAACCGGTTTTCCCAAAGTGGTGCGAACTAGCTGAATTCCACCACTGCCTTTACTACTGGTTCACAACGGAAGCGCGCGTGCGCACTCGCTTCTGCACATGCGCAGATCACCCATGATGGTGTCTGGATGGGTGGCCCGAGCCTCTCGCCGCTTTTACTACCAGTTCGCAAGAACTGGACCGAACCGGGAGCAACCCACCACTGAAACAGAAGCAATTCGCATCCTGCAAAAATAATGCAAATCCTGCAAATTTGTCCATGTGATAACTTCCCTAACTTATTTTTGCCCTTTGGTTGATTATTTTGCATGATTTGTCCCCCCCCTTTTTTAAAAAAAATCATCGATGCTAAAATATCCTCTCAAGAGAATAGTTTACACAACCATCTCTCTGCTGCTGAGCAGAGATATTATTGATTTGCAGCTAAGTTTTCTCTGCAATCATAAAAGGTAAGTGCTTGATTTTTAGAAATACTTGCAAGGCTTGTGCCTTGCACAGTTGAACCTTTCGGCTTAAGTTTATTCAATGGGGCAATCTTATTGCCATTGGTCCATGATGGTGAACCTATGGCACGCGTGCCACAGGTAGCACACAGAGCCATATTGGTAGGCAAGCAAGCGTTGCCCTAGTTCAGCTCTGGCACGCATGGTGGGACCAGAAGTCAACAAACGGGCTGTTTCCAGCCTCCAGAGGGCCTCCAGGGGGATCCCCAGGCTCCAAAAAAGCCTCTGGAGCCTGGGGAGGGCGAAAAATGGGCCTACAGGGCCCACCGTGCCATTGCATGCCAAAGCGGGGGGAGCACCAGGTTCATGCGCGCATGCGCGGGGCACATTGAATTATGGGTGTGGGCACGCACGCTTGTGATCCCCCGCATTCCCCCCGCTTTTGCCATGCGACGGCAAAAAGGTTAGCCATCACTGCCATAATCAAAATTCCTCATTCAAACCAGTGCTACCAGTCTTTTAAATCGGCATGGATTTAATGCGTGTGAAGCTCAGATGTGTGTAAACCTCAGATCTGCCATCATGGAATCCCTTCAATTTCACCCGTTATTGTTTATAAGCTCTTGCAAACTTATTTGCATTTGCTTTGATTTCCAACTACAGTACTATAATTGAAAATCAAAGTACAGTACTTCTTGAAACAATTTCCATGCAGATTATCACTTCAAATGCTCTCTTAACTTAGCCCATTTTAAGTTATTTTTATATTTTCTTCCACAGACTAGCAGATCTTTCAACACCTCCCAAAATTTGTAGTGTTCAGACATCTTCTTAAATTCAGCTCTAATTTCAAATTTCAAATCTTTATTGTCAGTGCACAACATATGTTCAATGAGATTGGTTGAGCTCCCTCAGTGCACCTCCCACACACAATACAATACAACTCACAGTGAAGACAGAAAATCCCTAACCCAATAAATCATATTAACAAAACACCCAGTCCTATTGCACCAGTGTGAACATGTTACACATTACGCCGGCCCTGCAGTCCATCATACTATGTAGTTATGATGTTATTTCTCATTCAGGAGTCTCACGGATAAAAACTGTTCTTCAGCCTGTTTGTGCAACTGTCTATACTTCTATACAGGGGTGAAATGCTCCCAGTTCGGACCGGATCACCTGATCTGGTAGTGATGGCGGTGGGTGGTTCAGAGAACCGGTAGCAAAAATCCCTGCCCCCCCCCCCACACGCCCAGCTGAGCTGCACGATCATCAAGAGGCTTTTTTTTTTTACTTTTAAAAGCATTTTTTCTACAACTTCTTCTGACGAAAAAATGCTTTTAAAAGTAAAAAAAAAAAAAGCCTCTGATGATCGTGCAGCTCAGCTGGGATCGTCAGAGGCTTTTCAAAGCATTTTTTTTCTGCAACCTCTTGGCCGAAGAGGTGGTAAAAAAAATGCTTTGAAAAGTCTCTGACAATCCCAGCTGAGTTGCCTAATGGGCAAAGAGGCATTTTTTTAAAAACCTCTCTGACGATCCCAGCTGAGTTGCCTGTTCGACAGAGGCTTTTCAAAGCATTAGAAAAAATGCTTTGAAAAGTTAAAAAAAAAAAGTTGGCCACACCCACCCAGTCAAATTACCCCCCACACACACACCAAGCCACACCCATAGAACTGGTAGTAACAAATTTTACATTTCACCCCTGCTTCTATATCTCCTTCCAGAAGGTAGGAGGGTAAAGAAGTGATGACCAGGGTGAGAGTCGTCCCTGAGAATTTGCCTCACTCTCCTAAGGCCACGAGCCCTAGAGATCTCACCTAGTGGTATCAGGGGGCAGCCCACGATGTTTTGTGCCGTGCTCACCACCCTCTGTAATGTTTTTCTATCTGTAGCTGTCAGACCAGAGTGCCATACCGTGATGCAATAAGTGAGGACGCTTTCTATTGTGGACCAGTAAAAGGAGATCATCAGTTGTTGTTCCACCCTGTTTTTACACAAGACCCTAAGGAAATGGAGTCTCTGTTGGGCCTTCATGTTGCAGCTCTACATGTTACAATGGACGTTCCTCATGTTGTATGTCCTTAGGAAACCTGAAATGCTATCCAAGTGGTGACGGTTTATATATAAAATGTTCCTGCATCGTATTTAGTACTAATTTAAGCTCTGCTGTCAAGTTTCTGCAGGCCAACTAAAACATCTTAATAATTGGTGGAGGTCACCTTCCCCCTCCCCAACAATTATTTAATTTGTCTCAACAATTTGTTCAGGTCCCTTCCTGTGTTGTCATCTAGTCATCAGTGGCACTATCAAAGGGCATTTATCCTCCCAATAAATCTGTCCACCGTTGGCATTCTTTTCCTCTTTGTCTTCCCCTTTGTCTTCCCGCTCAGAGCTATTCTTCTTCTTCACTTTGTGGTTGTGGTTTTTATGCCCTCCTTCTTCTTCCAAAAAAGCAAGGCAAGACGTCAGATGAAATCTGTACGATCTCGGTTCCTCATCGCTGTTGTATCTTCCTGCCTGATCAAATGCAAAATGGCACAGTGTTTTCTGTGGCTTGCTTGACTGATCTTCTCAAAAAGCCTGTAACTTTCCCAGGCAGCCTCAGGCAATTGAACAACAGCGCAAGATCACAAGGTTGCTTAATCAACTACCACCAACAACGGTAACCCAATACTCTACAGTTGTCTCTTCAATCTGATTCCTTCTCTTCCCAGCACTCTGAATTATAGAGCATAACCGTGGCTTAGAAAATAACTAATGCTTGTTGGGCAGCATTTAGTTGCATGCACTACAATTTGTCTATCTGCATTTATTTATTTATTTGCCTCCGAAGCTGCTTTCTTTCAAAAGGCAACGGGACTTCCTTGTTTTTTGCTCGAAGACGTTTCGCTTCTCATCCAAGAAGCTTCTTCAGTTCTGACTGAATGGCGGAGAATGGAAGGATTTATGGAAGGAAGGAAGGAAGGAAGGAAGGAAGGAAGGAAGGAAGGAAGGAAGGAAGGATAGAATAGAATAGAATAGAATAGAATAGAATAGAATAGAATAGAATAAGAGGGGAGGGGAGGGGAGGGGAGGGGAGGGGAGGGGAGGAGAGGAGAGGAGAGGAGAAGAGAAGAGAAGAGAAGAGAAGAGAAGAGAAGAGAAGAGAAGAGAAGAGAAGAGAAGAGAAGAGAAGAGAAGAGAAGAGAAGAGGAGCTAGAAGGGACCTTGGAGATCTTCTAGTCCAGCCCCCTGCTCAGGCAGGAGAACCTATACCATTTCAGATGGAATGTTTTTGGAAAACAGCACCTTTGGGACAACCATGACCTGGATGACTGAGAATCTCCATAGACATTTATTTATTTGATTTCTGTTTATATCCCACCTTTCATTATAGGTAATTCAAGGTAGTGAACATATATAATACTCTTTCCTCCTCCTATTTTCCCCATAACAGCAACCCTGTGAGGTTGGTTGGGCTGAAAAAGATTGACTAGCTCAAAGTTATCCAGTCAGCTTTCAAGCCTAAGGTGCAGTGGTGGGATTCAGCCGGTTCAGGCCGGTTTGGGTGAACCGGTTGTTAAATTGCTGGCTGGCCCAGCCCCACCACTACTTATTGGCCTCACACACCTTGGCTGGTGCCTTAGAGTCACCCCACAGCATAGCTGCAGCTGCTCTTTGGCTCCCTTGCCTTGACCATGTGGCCACGTGGCCCAGCCTGTTTGTATGCCTTTGCCATGGCCTACAATGCGGTAGCCTCCCACTCCTCTTGGCCTGCTCCTGAATGCCCTCCTCGTGCTGCTCCTGACCGTTCCAGCAGCAGAACCAGTGGTGGGTTTCAAAAGTTTTTACTACTGGTTTTGTGGGCGTGGCATGGCTTGGTGGGTGTGGCTTGGTGGGCGTGGCAGGGGAAGGATACTGTAAAATCCCCATTTCCTCCAGATAAGCTAGGACTCGAGAGACA